ATATAAATTTATTTCAAAAGTCGAAATAAAACAAAAAAATATTCTATAACAAAAAAAAAAAAATCAAAAGTTTTACTAGAAAATTTATGCAACTCACAGCTTTTATACTCACAGCTTGTGTGTCAGTTTCTCCAGTAATAAAGCATACAGTGTATTATAGTATACATATATACACTTACATACACAGAAGTTTATAAAATTTTTATTATTTATTTGTATTAGTAACCTACTGTAAGTCCAACAGTAAGGAAAAGAAAAGGATTTGTATGTACGTAATAATAATAAATTGTTTGAATTTTATTGTTGTTATCCTGCATTGTGTAATAGTGTTTGCATTTCATTTGCATATATTTTTTTTATTTTATTTTTATATTTTCTTATAATTCATAAGGAAAAAATCATAAATCCCAAAAAATGTGAATTGAAGTTTTTTTTTTCGTAACGCTTTTTTCGTTACACAGGTGGGTGTGTTCATATACACAAAATGGTGACAAAAGCACGAACGTTAAATGTCATTAAGGAAATGTCCTTGTTTTGTAGAGTGCAATGGCGGTAGCTGTGTAATTTAAATTAGGTCATGTTGAAGGGACAATAAATTGCAGTAAGGAAGTTCATAGTTTTTATTGCTTTATTCGTGCAAAAATGTTGGTAAATATTTTTGTACAAATTATTTGGGAAAATATAATAAATGCTTATGAAATGGAATGTTTAGCAATGAAATGAGTGGTTAAGTGTGTTCAAAGAATGTATTTGCTAACGATGTTTTAGAAACAAAAGAAAATCTTATCAAAAATTTAGTTTGAATTAATATAATTCTTATTCGAGTAATTAAAAAATTTAAGTTGAAAACTTTATAAATTCTTTTATATAAAAATCGTCCAAAAATACAATACAATACGTCTCTGTATACAATATAAGAAGAGCGAAAGTTCTTATTGACCAAATTGAATTATTATTTTCAAAATATAATAGTCTAAAAGTATGTAAAACAAGTGTTATGGATTGTCGAACAAAGTGAACTTCTCTTCTAACTCAATGTAACCATTTGCACAGTTTAAAAGTAAGGTGCAGATAATCAAGATCTATAAATTTTAATACAAATTTTTTATCGATAATACACCTTCTTTTTAAAAGTATAAAACCTTATTTAATCTTATATTTAACCTTATAACTGCTAAAGGACGGCCTAACTACAATTACTTTCTTTCAGCGTAATCCTATGTACCTACGTACGAGCACATCTTATATATTTGTCTTATATATAAATATATCCATGTGTAATTAGAAAATTGTAAATAATTTTGAAATTCATTTGTACTAAAACAATAATACATTACCTAAATTTGCCATAGGTCCTTCAATCATTATGAAATTTGAGTAGAGAAGCAAATACAGTGCCTAATATATTGCTCCGTGGACTGCACCCACAATAATAATGTGACTGTTCATGAAATCATTATTTTCTGGACTGATTATAATTACCCGAAATATATAATACTAACAAAAATAAAACAATAATAATAAAAAATACAATAATAGTTACAGAAGAAAATTTTAGTACATTTTTGCTGTTTGGTAATGTAAATAATCATTGTTCATCAAGATTTCGTTAGCCAGATTCCTGTTCAGTCCCACAATATATTTGTTTGTACGGACCAAGAAAACAGAGATTACTTTGTTATTCTACTGTAATTTATGTATATATTTTTGGCATTATCTTCTTCACTGTACTCTTTGTACTCTTCACTGCCTACTGTTCACTTTCAATATGTCTTTCTATTTAAATTTACCGATGTAAGTTTTTTTGTTAGTTCTGTAAACGAATTATTGCATTTCAGTTTCTAAATATTTCATTCTACATACTTTATTATAAATTAATATAATATTATTTATCATATTTTTTTGTTGTATGCAAATAATTATTTTCTTCTCTAGTCCAATAGTATTCCATCATTAACTTCATCATTAACTTCTGAGTACAAAAACATCCTTTGAATCTAGAAGAAATATATTTATATACGTATGTATATAGGGATATATACGAAAGTATATAGATGAACATTTTAATGAAATTTTAAATAATTAAAATACTACATTTTGCAATATTTGTTGTATTTGTTTATCAATTATTTCAAGAGGAATGTGTTAACATTTCTTCCGTGATTAATCAAACTATCTATATGATACTTTTCTGTGAATCTGTATCACATTCCATAATAAAGAAGCCTCATTATAAATTGATGGTTAAAGAATATAGCATGAAATGATTTATTTATAATATACAAGGATTAAGAATAAAATTTCAATATATCTTATGTGTTTATGTTTTATTTTGAAATTATATTTAAATTTATAAATCATAAATTTTATGATTGCTTTCCTTTTGAATCGAACTACTTACTGATTCAAACAATTTGTACTTATGTAAACAAATAAAATCTGACAATATGGATTAAGTTAGTTTATTTGTTTGTCATTAAATCTGCATATCCTTTCAAAGGACATATACAATTGTAATAATATCTTACAAGGCACACTTGATAAAGATGTTCTTGTCGTTCTACTTGAAAGATTAAATTGCAATTATTCACAAATGTACTGTAATATAAGATTATTGGATATAGCATTCCAGTATCCAGTATAAAGCAATTTAAATTAGAATCTTAATCTATTAATAAGTACAAAATCAAAACAGTAATCAGAAAATCAATAACTTGAGCAATTTTCTTTAGACAAAAAAAAAGTTTAGGATTTTGATTGTTGATTTTTCACGTCGAATAAAATTTTAAATCAAACTTGAAATTAAATATTTATTTAATTAGTTAGGAAATTAAAGTGATTACTAAGCTAATACAAGAAGAATATCAAATAAAAATTATATTAAATAGTTTTTTTTTAATAAAATCAGGAATGAGCAATTAGTTTATAATATGATTTTTCTAAGCTGATGAGTGAATTTCTTTAGAATGGTTGATGAGAGCATTAAATAATTACTTTTTATACGTTCATAAGATATTATATATATTTATAAATATATATAAATGTGTGTTTTAAATATATTTACATATATATACAGTTTGACTCATTTTCACCTCATGCATGACAAAATAACATCCCTTGCGATAGTGTGAAAAAAAATGAACTTACACAACCTTTTTTCTTAATAAAGTTCAAGTTTGCCTGTACCGATTATAATATTTTCAGCCCCTTCTTTTATGAATTAAAAGAATTTATCTTCATATTTGAGCATAGTACAATGTAAAGGAAACCCTGTGAATTGGCGCCCGATAAAATTGTAGTAGTTGACTACTGTATTTTATGCAATTGCACTACAGTGAAAGACGTCAACTACTATAGCAAGTTTGTGTAGTCCAATCGTTAGTTTTCAAAACCATAAGAAAAGAAGATTTTATCTACATAAGTTCACCTTTTTTTTCTAATTTTGAAATAAATTATTGTTTAACCAGCCGCTATTAGTTTATAGCTCGAAATAGAGATGATAGACGAAATAGAGTCTCAATAAACACACAGCATTGCTTTCCTTGTTGTCAATAACGTCTTTGCCAGTGTTTGTAGAGTATCTTACATTTCTGACCACAGCTGTCTTTGTACCATAATTTTTACACTTTTCATCAGGTGTTCATCAGGTGTTGACTACGATTAAATAGAAGGTAAATGCTTCTCTTAACCATAAGCAAAATGTTACATATATTAAAACTTCTCCAATTTTTTACCCATTTTTCTTTATGGTAACCTTACACATTAAAAATTCGGTCGCTTCACCCATATTATATATTAACAATGGATTTGCTTACATTTTAAATATTGAATAAAACTAAAACAGTTGCATTTTAGTAATTGAAAAGGTGCAAAATTAATAACCATTTTGTTCTGTTAGTGATATTTTATTATATTTTAATTAGAGAAAATATTGTATTTCTATTTAAATAAATACACAAAATATAATATAATATATAAAATAACATATTATAAAACTAATATTAATTAATTTTAATTTTATATAAATTTATCAACTATTGATTTTGTACTAAAACTCCAAATTCTTGCTAATATATTAGCGAAAGATATATTTTGTTGTGGATTAAATGTTTTTCACTCTGAAAATGTACTCGTATACAATGTGGCTCGTCCATTACCGCTGCCACCGACCGTTCGAATCCATAAAATCAAACCATAATATATTATGAGTTTTTTCCCATTTCCAAATCCGTACAAAACTCGTACAATCATTTTCCATATAATAAATTTTATTGCATTGCATTATGTATCTTGATCAAATGACCTCTGTTCGCTCGTATATCTCAGCGGAATTTTCAAAGTAATAAAAGTTGTTGTGTATTGACATTAATTTTACAAAGGATTAAACATTATTACTTTTTCAATTTTTTATTTATTACAGCCGCACACGTGCATTTTGGCATTAGATAGAATTTCGTGTTTTTAATTTCCCGTAAAACCTCAGCGAAAAATATGTGTGTAGATACATTTTGGTAGAGAAGTTATAAATGGGATTTTAATTCCATATTAAAAGGACGAATTTCATATAATATTTGCAATTTTAAATGGAACATATTTTTGGCAAGAGTAACTGCAAAAAAGTCACGATCTAAAGATTAATGTAAATTAAATCGATATAAATTGTTTATTTTAAATCAAGTTTGATATAAAAAAAAATATGTTTTTGTGCTTTCTAATGGATTAGAGTTTTTAATTTGAAAGTAATTTTTTTCGAAAAGTATTTTATATCCATTAATCACTTCATTTCACTTTTGAGATTTACAGCAAAATTTGTTTCTGTTTTTAAGACAATATGTAAAATAATAGAGAAATAAATTTTAAAAGTAATTTCTAACACAAAATATTAAAAGTTCATTCACAGTAATGTTTTTGTCCATATATTAAAATTTTCATATATCAAAAAATATTTTTAAATGCTTAAATTAACAAGTTATATTATTTATTTCTGTCTTTTTCTTTAGGTTTGGCTGGTTTACGCATGATTAAAGTTACTATACCCGCCTATAAATTACGTGGCGAGTCAGCATTTCTAGAATGTCAATATGAACTAGATAAAACTATGTCAAGAAAACATTTTCGCTATCAAGATAGCGAACAGGATGAAAACCATGAAGGAGTTAATAATATGAATTACGTTAATCCAGATTCTACAGAAACTCAATTTCCGCAGTTCAGGCATATACAATCTTATCCATTTTCACAGACACACCAGCGCCCATCTGATGGCATTAGAACTGCTACTAATTATCAACATCATTTTCAAGCAGACCAACCAAATAGTGATTCACATTTTGAACCATATCAATATCCATATCAGACACCTAAATCACCATATGGTCATAGCATTTACAGAGGTAGATCTCCTGTTTCATATGGTGGGCATGTAGGTGCAAGTACTTACAGTCGTAATTCTCATATTAATTATGGAATATCAGAACATGAGGAGAGTGTCGATGATAGTAAAGAAAGCGAACAGGAAGAAGAGAAAGAAGAAGAAGATGTTGGTGAAGAATTATATGCAATCAAATGGTACAAGGATAATGAAGAATTTTATCGTTATTTGCCAAAAGCAAATCCACCAAAAACAAGTTATCGCGTCGACGGTGTACGAGTTGTGGTAAGTTCAGTTCGATTATAAAAACTATATATATATAATATATAAATGGATTTAAAGAGAAATATTCAATATATTAAGCATAATAATAATATTAAGCATAATTCTGTTTTTATTGTATTATATTTTTTATAAATGCATTTATTTTAGGAGGAGCACTCCGATGATTCAAGAGTTTTATTAAGAGGTTTAACTATAAACTCAACTGGGCTTTATAGTTGTGAAGTTTCTGCTGAAGCGCCGAATTTTTCATCTGTTAAAGGAGAAGGACAACTGTATGTTGTTTGTAAGTAATTAAGTTAAAACTGAAGTAAATTTAATTTTTATAATAATTTTAAGATTGGTTAAGTTTATTTCTCCTACTGTTATATTATAAATAAATATGTTATGATATCAAGCTATATTGGTCCCTTTTTAATTAAGTAGAAACAAAGAATCATATTTTTAATTAGTTTTAAACCCAACGTTTCGCAGGGTCTATGTCAGTTTCTTCAAGGGTTAAACATTGGGTTAAAAACTAAATAAAGGAATGATTTCTAATTTGTAGATAATTGAAATAAGACCACTATAGCTTAAGATGTTTTTAATATAATAAATATAATAAAATTTAATAAAATAATATAATAAATAAAAATAAATATAATAATAAATTTAATATAATAAAATTAATTTAATTATTAAAAAATTTGTAAAACGAATGCTTAACCAATTATTACTTTTTATTTATTTTTTTAAGTAATATACAATTTTTTAAAAAATATAGTCCGATTTGGAAATAACATTTTGTATTGCAATAGATTTTCCTACGCCAACCTTAGTAGCTACTTCCAAATATTACTTTTTCACCTATAATCGTAATAATTTAAAATTTAAGAGCTTAAGTTTGTGGTTTTTCAGATAGATACAAATCTTCCTTATGTGATAGTGCTTTAAAACACTTTCGCTTGTATAATTTTCCATAAATCTGTAACTTAACTTAACTGCCAGATACTTTACTCAAAAGTATTCATCTTCACTCAATTACAATTCTGAAATTTTAACTTTTAAATGAATATTTTTGTATTTGTGTTATTACATATTTACTTACACTACTTTTACATCACTATTGCAGTTTTGATATAACGAACGAATGATCTTTATTCGAATTTACTTATATAAAAAAATAAATTCCATCCTTTGGATTTTCTGCTATATTTCCTTAAAGTGGTGGGGGGATTTTAATTGCGTCTTTAAATATTGAAATGGTAAATTAAAAGCTTTTTATAAATATTTATTTATTTCACTTTTAAGTACAGTTTATGTTTACATACGTAAAAAAATATTTAAATCGAAATAAATAATAAGAGAAAAAAATATGAAGTCATGACATGAGTCTACGTTTTTAAGTATTTTTTATTTATTTACTTATTATGTATTTAAGAATTACATGTACTTCATATTATTTTCTTTTTAATATACAGTTATTAATATATTGACGAGTTGGTATTTGGAAATTGTATTTTCTTTAATAATTGTAAGAATCTTGTTTCTCCTCAGTAGGACATAATCGCTCTTAAAATTGTTAAGAGCCATTATATTTAGTTTATAAAGTAAAATAGTTAAGATATAGTTCTTAATGATAAATAAGTGAATACAACAGAAGTATGTAGGATTAAATTTTATTTCTGCTCTCTGGTATTTTTCATTTAATATTCTACAATGTTCTAAATTTTTCTGATTCATAACGATTGTTGAGTTCTTTTTTCTTCTAACTCATTTCTTTATAATTTGGAAGAAGAATGATAAGAAGTCCGTAAACCTATTAATTAATTAAATATCATACACTGACTACGCGTACAGTAATTGACTTTAGTTAAGTCAGTTCCCTCCCCCCTTCCCATTATCCTCTTAGCTATAATCCACCCATCCGTTCCCTTACCCATGTATTCGTCTTGTGATCTTTACATGTTATCTGCTTCTCAGATCCCGGCGGGCTACAACAACAACAGTTAAGTTAGTAAAGTTATTAATTCTTTAGTCTAATGTAGAGACCAAAGGCGATTCATTAAATCGTCATTGAGATGATTCAACAGATTGCAATAATATTTGAAATTGATATTTACAAATAAGGAGTTGATTGTCTATTCACTTTTAAGGTAATTGCTATAAATTTAGTTACATTTATCCTAAAAATAATGAACATTGTCAGCCAACAGATTAAGGCTAAGAGTTTTTTGGCATCAATCACAGATTGTTTTTTTTCTATTTTTCATTATACTCTTACGGTTTCGCTTATGGATCAAAAATATTAAAATAATGCCAAACTCTTTTTAAAAGTTATTACATGACTATCCTGCTGTCCCTTTTTCTACTCATTTTATTGTGTTTATTATGGACCACTTAGCGATATTTCCATTATCTGACTGATTTATAGATCTATTAGTTTTAGATCAATATCTATATCCATGTGTAAGATTTTTTTAAAATTGTAACTGATTGTTATCTAACTGATTTATAGATCTATAAGTTACAGAATATCTATACTCATAACTAAAATTTTTTTGAAATTTTAACAGACCTTATTTGGGTGTCTAGAATATTTGACGTTATTTGTTTTTCTACGAATATATCAATATTAAGTGAAGAATATTTTGTTATGTACCAACACCATCAAGGCTGACACAGAAATTTGTTATAATTGAAATTGGTGATATAAAGCCCCTATAGTTTTAATCAATAAGTTAGTTGGCTTAATCAACATATTATTTAACATATATTGAAAACTTACAAAGTTGTTTTTTTGCAGTTGCCAAAAAAGGATATAGTGAAGCTTGTCCAAAATTTAATGTTGATGTCAAAATTATGATTTACATTCATCAACTTTCCTCTTTATGTCCATATAGAAAAATTTTATTATATTTTCGTTATTTTGTATATTAAAGCACAGGTGTGAGTGAAAATATTTTATGCAAGAATGATATTCCTGATTAAAATTTTTGATTGATATGCTGATCATTCTCTCAAATAGGAAGGTATTGGAATGTGCTATGCTAAACCTACACGCTGCTTTATATGTAGCGTCAAGGTAATATTATTTGACATCAAAAGCATCTTTTTTTATTTTCCTTTTCTTTATTTATTATATATTTTGAACTTTTTTAATGTTAACCAAGAACTCGATACTTGTGTATGTCAACTTCTTATAAATTTTGAACGTTTTTGTATAGTTTCATGTGCAATTAATTTTATTTAATTATGCTTCACATAAAAGTGTAAATATATCTCCAACAAGGGTGTGCTTCATATAATATGTACTTGTATATATGACAATCTTACACATCAAATTAAAAACTAAACGAAGCCAGGATTTAGCTTGATGTGAACTAACAAAAACAAAGGCAAATTTCTTGTTCGTCAAAGATGTGTCTTGAATTTTGTAAATTCAAAATACTTGCAAACGTGTTTTGATTTTTAATTTCTGAAGTTATGCCAAAGTGACTATTTAAGGATTTACAACCTTTGGCTTGGCAGAGACAGCATAAGTCGAGGCACTGAACTTGCCAGTACCAGAATAGTTTCCAGCAAGGTATCAAATGTTATACGTTGAAGTTCGTCAACAAATCTGTGGATAATAAAGCAAAATATGACAGTGCAAAGTAAATCTCAAGTAAAGTGAAAATTATAGGCGAGATTAAATTCAAACGTTGTAAAATTTTAATACTTGACGTTGTCTGCCAAACAAAGTTTCCATAACGACAAAGTTCCTTCAAACGTAACTACCTCACAAATTCAACATAAAATTCTGCATTTTAAGATATTTGCTCGTTTATAAATACAAAACTACTAAGTCTGTTCAAAGATATAACATGTCATAAATTTATACACTTTCTAAGGTATGTGTACTTAAGCTGCTTTAAATGACTAGTTTGAGTGCTTAATTAGAACTAAGCTCATTGCAGTATAAGTCGCTTTAATTTATTTTGAGATGTGGTAATATCTTTGTCAAAATATTGAAAATTTCAGTATGCAGCATAACTAATTCATCGAGTTTTATCTGTTGACTTCATTCAGGTCAAATAACATATATATAAAGATATATTTGACTTAACTGCAACGGTAGATACTCGTACATATGGTTTTAAAATTTTATTATATAAAATACTTAAATATTTATATGTAAGTAGTGCTACTTCCGTTCATAATGCTTGTAAATGTAAGCTCTGTGTTAAGCTTATGCTAAGCTCATGTTAAACTTATGCCAAGTTTGTACGAAATTAGAGTCAATAGTCAAGCTGACACTTCTATATCTTAAGCTATATTATTAATAACACTGACCAATAGTAGCTATTAATTCATTTCAATACATAAGAATTTTTTAAAATTGTATCAGATATACCTATTTACCATTAGTAGGTATTCAGAGTGCTTTATTAAAGCACTAAATATTATTGTGTTATTAAATAAGAGCTTGAGTGTTTTATAAATATGAATTAATTAATACAACGAAACATTTTTGATGCGAAAAACCTTTTAAATATTTTATTTAAATATTGATTAAATGATATTATTCAGTTATAAAACTGTAAACACATATGAACAGTCCATATTAAACTTACATTAATTTAAATCTTTTTTTTTGATAGTTGATATTTTTTCAAATTTTTATATATTTATCATTGTGATTTTATGTTCAGTTTTACCACGTGATGGACCACACATTAGAGGGCAACAATTTCAATATCAAATTGGTGAAACGTTAAGTCTGAATTGCTCATCTGGAAAATCGCATCCTGCGTCACATTTGCAATGGTTTATCAATGAACAGTTGGTGAGTAGGAACCATTTTTTAAATGCAATTACAATAAAAGTGCATAGCAAAAATTGAAATCAACTTAACGCTAGAAAAAACAATTGAAAGAACAATGAATTAAAATTGATAAATTATTACTATGTAAATTTATTATTGAAATTTTCAAATAAAAAATTTATGCTTAATATTTACAATTATAATCTATTTTTTAAAATTTAAAAAAGTATTTTTAATGGAAGTTGATTTTGATTGATAGCATTTTTAATATCATGCTTTTTATAGTGTTTTTTTAATACTTTACTTAAAACTTTACTAATTAAACATTTAGAATATATTAATTAAATTGTATGTTTTCTAACAGTTAAAATGTGGTTTTATGAAACAACTTAATTAAATCTCAAAAGTTGCAGTAAAATTTTGATCAAAATTGGTTTTTTAAATGAAATATTTAATTAAATATTTTTTTGAATTAATTTTTTAAGTATGGGGTAAAATATGTAAAATGTTTGGAGTAAATTTTTTAAGCTTACTTATAGTTTCAAGCTGACATTGACATACATTCTATATAAAAAGTATTTAGAATTATTAAAGTAAATATTAAAAAGCCCTCTTGCCCTCAAAGTAGCCCACATTGAGTGTAATATAACCATGCCATCGCTTGACCCAATACCTCATAAGTTTTGCATTGATTGATTGTGATATGAGCTTTAATTTACATCTAAATCTTATCTTTTTGGACTCAATAGAATCACTTTTTTCGAAAAGGAAATTTAAGTTTTAAAAACAGAAAAATTTTGTGATGTTTAACTTTTTACACGTAATGTCTCGGGCGCAAAGATTTCCTAAATCAAGTCATATGGGGCCATTTCAGGTGATTTTGTTCTTTAGTTGCTACAACTATGGCTGTGAAGAAAATTGAATGGGTTCGTGTATATAGAAGTTTTGATGACGAAGAAGTAGTGGACGAATTATTAATACATTTTCTTAAAGACCTTGCTGAAAGCTACAGGGCCCACTTAATGTGGATTCAATGACATAGCGGATTTGAGGAAAACTAGAAAGACGATAAACTAGCTAGAAAAGGGGTGGCCTCATATTATATTGGGCTAAGATCATTCTGCGGTTTTTCATAGAGCGTTTTCAAACTTAAAATTAATGAATGGCTGCAAAAAGCAGCTTTAACTGACTGAAATAATGTAATTACCTGCAGACAAGCTAAAAAATTCAGGTCGAATCGGTTCCGAAGCCAGAACTAGGGAGCTACTAATGATGTATATAAAAAGCATCCAACTTGTCACAGGGTTTCTTACTAAACATTGCGGAGTCAAAAAACAGCTATCGAATTTAGGTATTATAAGGGACAATATCTACAGAATTTGTTATGAAGAACAGGAAACAGCAGAACACAGTCTGTGTCATTGAGACAGTCTTGTCAGCCTCAGACTTCGGTAGCTGAAGTCTTATCCACTTATAACACAAATATGTAACATCTTAAAGACCATAATGGCATTTTTAACTGCTACGCGCCTATGGAGTAAAAGAGCGTTTGGTACAATAATCTCCAAAGATGACGTTGTGACATAATTTCCAAATTTTTCAAAATCTATCTATCTATCTAACGAAACCACCTCAAGGCCGTAATATATGGGCCGAATTAATTTGAAGTCAGCAAAATCCACTGACTTCATTATTATTACTTCATAAGCCTAATCATATCTGACTTTACTAATAAAACTAACCACTAGTGATTTAAAGAAGAGGGTTTTCACTCTGTACCAAACTCTTCTTTTCAGAAGTACTTAGAGAAGTATAATCACTCATTTGAATCTGAAAAGATTGGATTTAAAAAGATTATTAGAGTGATAACTGGTCATTGTCTTTTAAATAATAATAAAGTGTATATCAGCACTAATAAACAATAACATTATATTAAAAATAGGCGTAGGACTGTCAAGATCTGACAAATATATACGCTTTCAGAATATCATGCTGTTATACAATGTATATAAAGAATTTTAATCTACGAAGTAGAGTAGTCAAAACTGATCTAAAATAGATTAAAACTATTCAGAATACAGCCAAAGTGAAAGAAATAATGGATTGTATTCATTTACTATAGATATATACGACAGCATACAAAAGTTTATCAATGGACGGTAATATTAGAGTACTTATAATAATTAATAATAATATTATATAGAATATTATTGAGTTTTTTACTTATAATAAACAAAGATGTTTTTTATGATGACATTTTGTCAATTTAATTATTTTAATGAAGATAATAATAGTTGAAGTATACTAACAATCACGATTTTTTTATCCTATTTAAATATGTAAGTTTTAATCATATGTGTTTAAGTTTGTAAGTTTATTTTTAAAAGATTTTTAAGTATGACTCAACTCATCACTATACTCAAAAAAATTAGGTATTGCGCTTAGGAAATTATTTTTAATGAAAAGAAATAAGGGGATTTGAGAATTTTATATTATATATTTTTGATATAAAAAATACATTAAAAGTAAAAAGAATTATAAATTTTATGTAGAATTTATAATTGAAAAAAGAAATTTATAAAGATATATGAAAGAAATTTCATCGTATACTTTATCATAAATATTTTGCAAGAATAACTAAACGTAGTTGTAAGCAGAAAGTATCTTTTCTTAATTTGAAAAGTTTTTATCTCCTGTTAAACAAGGCATTATCTCTTTAATGGTTTCGTTGTCTGCTATTTAAAACACACTTATTCTTAGCTCCTCATTCACTGCTTAAGTAAAACTAGTTGGAATAGCATTTTGCTCGATTTCCTCCAACGAAAATTGCGATTATTTTCACTTCAAATCGATTGCTACTTTCTCTCGATTTTTGCATACTTTCGTTTACTTTCTTTCGAATGCTTAATGCTTGATTGATTGCTCATTTGATATTCAGTTTCTACTTTTTTTACAAATTATTTGCTTTACTTCTCTATTCTAAATCAATTGGTAGTTTTTGTTGGTGGTAACAGTTTGTAACTGTGGCTTATTGTTCGCCACACCCTGTACGAGTATTCCATACTTTCCTAATGAATGAACTTTCAGATATTTTTGTATTCTTTCTCATTTCCAAACAATTTCAGCGCTTTGATAAAGTTCTAAAAACTTTTTGCGGTTTAATTTATTTTGTCTCTTTTTTAAGTATTGTTTTAATTTTTTTAAATTTTTTTTCTCAATACTTTTTTGTGTTTCAACGCAATTATTTTTATTTTCAGGAAATTTGAAAAGAATTTTTATCCTTTTGTTTAATAAAGTGGCAGCTATTTAAACTTTGACATTAAAAAAAAAATTAAATGGAAGTTGAAAAATGTTTTAAAAACCGACAAAAAGCTTATGATAAATGTTTCATTTAAATATAGAAGAGAAGCTGGATATTTAACAAACACCTAAAAATTTTCTTTAAGTAGAAGCTGCAATCAGTACATTAATAAAAAAATCTTAGTAGAAAGACGCATTGAAATGTTCAATTTTTATTTAATTAAATCTTTTCGTTTAATGTTTCAAATGTCATTTTTGCCAATTCATCATAATCTTTGCTATCCTTCCCTTCCGTCAGACGCTGTATCTAATGGATACTACATGACATCTTCAGTTTAGTATTACATTTTGTTATACTATAATTCAAGTACCATATAATTCTACCCATATATTTTCCAATAGCGTCGTTCTTTATTTTCTCTTTTAACAAAAAATCGAAACTTCTTATTAACATTAGTTAGTTTCGGATTATTTGCTGTAGAATCACATTCAATGAAATAAAAACTGATCATAATATAATGTATTGGATTTTTAATTTCTTTAAAACATTCTGTAAATTTGAATAAATTTAAGAGAACACCAGCAAGTTTCTAGGAAAGCTGCGAATCAGGTATTTTATGTCTGTATATATGAAGTATTCACTTAAGTTAAACTGCAAGTATTAATTTTGCTTTTAATCGAGTGTTGTCTTAACCCTATCAATATTATTGTCAAATACTATCAGAAATTAATAGAATCTATATGTGAGACTAAGCTTCTTACAATATAAATTCGGGCTTATAAACGGAAAGTAAAAACAACTAAACATACTTTAAATTTACAGGAACGTATACATTATAAATGTTAATAAATGTAGCACTGCTAGCATCGGATCTTTTGTGCTTTCTAATGGGTTTAGAGTAGGTCTCTAAGCTCTGTTGCGTCAATAAAAAGTAGTAAAGAATCTACTTTACAGAGTTTTGTTGCCGTTTTCGTAAGGGTATACAAACTAAGGAGTCTATTCCGTTAGTGTAGGGCATTTTAATAGCATATGGCTGACTTCTCATTCTCTTCGCAGAGTCTACACTTTGAATCCGTACATGTACTTACATTTCTTAACATTGTTTTGAAATTTTAGCCGATAATCATCATGGGTATGTTAGACTGGCATATAAATGCAGCGAAAAATACGGGTTAAAAGATGTGAATCAAACATCGCATAGTACAATGTTTTCTACACGTATTGATTGTTTTCAACACGAATTATAAGTTGCCACCAATTTGCATTGTGATCTAGAGATTTATTGTGCTTCATGGATTTCTCTTACTCCAACTTCTTTCATATACATATCTTACATACATATACTACATACATATATGACATATTATATATATTATAATATTAAACCCACATTCTAGAGCTTTATGTTATTTTTTCATCCTATATGACATGCCCACCTAACCACTTTTATTAAATATTAATTAATATCGAAGAAACTTCTAATCGTGTTTTGAGGTCTCTTTCTTATCCCTCAAGACCTATAAGTTTCAATAGAGTAATTTCCAAGTTTTATAATCTAATAGTTAAACGTACTGTGCAATGTCAAAATTTTTTAATTTATTTTATACAATACTTAACATAAGCTGTTTTAAATTAAAAACCTCTATAACTAATTTTGATTGTGTTAGCTCTGCTATATCACTTCAGTATATATATAAAATATAGTATTTTAAAGGGTCTACAAG